ACTCAACCACTGAGCCACATCCCCAGCTCTATTTTGTATTTTATTTAGAGACAGAGTCTCACTGAATCACTTAGTGCCTTGCTTTTGCTGAGGCTGACTTTGAATTCATGATCCTCCTGCCTCGGCCCCCAGAGCCACTAGGATCACAGGCACGTGCCACCACGCCTGGCTCATATATTTTTTGACCATTTGTATATCTTCTGTGAAGTTTCTGTTCAGTCCCTTTGCCCATGTATTGGCTGGGTTACTTAAAACCCTGACTTTTTAAAAAGGAAAGTTTCAAGATCTCACAAGCACAGTATACCTCACAGACCCCCGGGTGCTGGCATCCAGCTCAGCACGTATGCACTCAGGGGCAGTCCTGTCTAACCTGCATACTGTCCACATTTTACTTCCCAAAAACTGACCCCCAGACTTTGTACCACTTCTTTAGAAATATTTCATTACATGTCTTAAAAATTAAAGACTTTTAAAAATATGGACCCAATACCATTGTAAAGAAACTTACAGCGATCACTCAGTATCATTGAATATCCAGTTGGCGCTCACACTTGCATTCATACCCATATTCTTCACTGATGTGGAAGCAGGGTACGGGCACAGGTGCCCTGCCTTGCCACATGTCCTCCCTCCATCCTCTCTCCTGCCTCCATCCACCTGTCTCCTGCGTGGGGATCTTGCTGGCTGCATCTTCAGGAGACCTCCATCTCCAGGGTGCCACCAAACACGATCCTTGGTCCCCTGGGCTTGCTGCATTGAGACAGCTGGGCGAAGGAGGTTGCCCAGGGTGTAGACTCACACACAGAGGGCTGTGTGTGTGCATAGGTCGAGGAGTGGGATAACTGGGTCAATGCCTGGAACCCTGTGTCGAGGTGCCTCAGTGTCTCAGGGGTCCTGGGGCTGCCTGCTGACCATGAAGGTCCCCAGCATCTTCCCATGTGTGAGTCTAACAGCCATTTTACTAGTTGGATCAGACATTAAGACAAAATATCCTTTATCAGTTTGATGTTTGGCCCCTGAGGCTGAGTTCACATGGGAAAACAGGATGCTCTCTCTCTGTGATTGGAGA